ACTTCTTTTGTTGAGCTTGACCATAACTACCATTGGCGGTTGATTTCATTTCAAATGGGGACCGATCTGGAAATTGTTGATCAAAGTATTATACTGTTTTATGACATTGAGGCTTTATTTATCAAAAGCTGTATTTTATTTTGCTTCTTACTTTAGACGATAAAATATTTACGTTTGTTTTTTTGAGAATGATGGCCAGTCTAAATTGTTTACAGACGTGAGCAAAGCTATTAATGAGCAACTGAATTCTTTCCTGTTCCTCCAAATGCGGCACCAGGATGGCGTCATTAGCAAGCAGAAGTTCTTTTGTTAGAACATTTTTTCATCTTTGTACTTGCTCGTAAACCCGCTATGTTTAACAGTCTGTCATCAAATATTGTTCCTAAGTAATTGCTTTTTTCACGGTTTATGCAAGCCTATCAAAAAAACTTTGAGAAAAAAATTATAAAAAGTGTGGTGTCAGGGCACAACATTGTTTGACGCCACTATCCACCAAAAACGCATCCAATGGGAATCAGTTAAAAACTGGATTGTGCTTTTCATATTCACCGAAAAGGCGATGATAAGATTCAATAGACGCCTGGGAAAACTAATATCTTTTAAAATCTTGAAAAGTTCTTTTTACTGATAGAGTAAAAAAACTTTGTTAAATTAATTAATTTTTGAAAAACCAATATCTTTTAAAATCTTGAAAAGTTCTTTTTACTGATAGAGTAAAAAAACTTTGTTAAATTAATTAATTTTTTTTTGTATGGCAGATAGTATCAATTTATTCATGTCTGTCAATTCATTTAGTTTTTCTGTGATTTTTTTATTGTTTCTGTTAATTTTCCAAAATTTTATTTGACCAATCTCGTGGTATTCTGTTTGGTTTGAAATGATAAATGTGGGTAATTGTTATAGTAATTCATTAATGGACAAAAAATTCTGTGTTTACACCATGCTTTTTTCAAGCTCGGTGTTTCCACATTGCTTGGCAATAAATTTTTCTTTTTCTCATTTTTTATTGTTTCTATTAATAGTATTTTGCTGACTAACTCTTCATAAGTATAAAATTCAACAAATGTTTTTTTTAACTGTTTATTTTTGATGTCATTTAAATTTTCATTACAAAACCACAGCAACTCAGAAATCAACAACATACAATATATATATATATATATTCATATATATGTATATATATATATGTATATTGTATATATATATATATATAGTGAGTCGACTTGAATCTACAAGTAGGTGAGTATATAAAGAATGAGAATTTCTGATCTGCTCCCGCAAAAATTTTTTTTGAAAGACGAAGAAATATTTCTTGGCATGGTTTTCAATTTTTCTGAAGTAATCCAATATGTAACCTCTACCTGCATTCTCCATGAGATTAAATTTGCATTTTCTTAATCAAAATTTTCTTTTATATATTGTTCTTCAATTGTAATAATAAATTCAATTTAATTTAATTTATTTTATATTCAAACATATGAATCAATTGTTGTACCTATCACTAACAACTGGTTCTTTCAACAACTACACATACACGCGATGATGTTGTTTGAACTAGTGTGAGGTTTATTTTCAATGAAAATCTCAGTGTTTATTTTGTATGTATTCAGTGGAATATATTAAACGATGAAATATTTCGGATTTGGAAAACAGTTCTTGCGCCACAAAAAACTTCAATGATTAAACATAATTCCATTTTTTGAATATTAAAGTTTATTCAAGAAAAATTTTCAAATTATCTGAAATTTTTTAGATACGATTGATTTATTTAAAATTGAATAAAAAACAAAACTTGTTACCGTTGAAAAATATTTTTTTCAATAAAGATAAATGATTGAAAAACCTTGCAAATGAAAATATTTAAATTTTTTCAAACTGAAACTAAATAAAAATAAAAGACAACTTAAAATTGGATTGAAGTTTTTCAAAAACGTGTTCAAATCAGGGCATTGATCACCTTAGAAGACCGGTTTGATCACCCACTTCATAAAACTTCATTAAAAAATTAATTATGTTTTTTTTAAATCATAAATAATTTAAAATAAGAATTAAATTTCGTTTTAATTACATTCATTATAAAATTTTTCGTTTGTAAAGATTTTTAGATATTTGTAGTAATTTCCTTTTTTTTATAACCAAACTGTGCTAATATATCCTCGTTGGAGGTATGAGAGGTCCAACTAATTTTCACATTTCTTCTCAAAAACCACACAACCTGAGGTTATCAGACTTCTTTTATAATTGAAGTTGTTGACTTGTTTCACCTGTATACCATTAATGATTATGAATCAGATTTTGCTTTTACTGATTAACATGCACAATTTACAAGCCATTCCTTTCACTTTCAAAAACAAGTTTGAAAACATTTGTTTGCAGTTTTTCCATTGATTCCGCTATAAGAGCTGTATCATCAGCATATTTTACATTACACCCGTCCGTGAATATTCCAGGTAGACCTTCTTTTTTTCTCATGATGATTTCACTTAGGGATTGTAAAGGTCTGGAGAGAATACACAGCCTTATCTAACACCTTTCTTAATTTCAACAAAACTAGTCAAATTGTTACCAACTTTCTTCGCTGCTCTTTAGTCTCTATAGAGATTTTTGATAACTCCCATATCTTTTCCATCAATGTCTAAATTTTCCAATAGTTTCATAAGCTCCACGCTATCAAAAGCTTTGGAGTAATCGACAAAACATATAAACAAGTCTTTCTTCGTTTCACTGATCATTCATAGCATGAAGATAGCGTTTCTTGTGCCACTATTCTCGACAAAACCACATTGTACAGTTGAAATTTCCAATCTGATTTTGGTTCGTGCTCTCATCATTTGAATTCTCAAGAGAAGTTTTGTAAGATGACTCATTTTTCGATGTAGTTCGCATTTGGTTTTTTAGGCAATGCAATAAATATTGACTTAGATAAATCTTCAGGAATTTCGCCGGTGTTATATATTTCATTCAAAATTTCTGTCACTATGTCAAGGCATTTAATTTCTTCAACAACTAATTCATCTGGGCCTGGCGCCTTATTTGATTTCATTTTGGAAAGAGCGGCACGAGCTTCAGATCTAAGTATCTTTAGTCTTTCTACGTCTTCCTTGCTGATTCTGTGACGGCGTCTCTCAATATTTCATATTTAGATTTATTTACGTCTTCCGCCAATAACTGAATAAGATTCCTTGACCTTGATCTCACCATTTTGTGGCAGACAAATCAAACGTTTTGGGACCACTTCACTTTTGATTTTCTTTAATTTTATCCTGATTTCACAAAAAGCTTGGTTGAGATCACTGCCACAATCAGCTCCAGAATAACTTTTGCATTGTAAAACAGCATTTTGAAATCGTCTATTTATTGTAATGTAATTAATAATATTTCTTACCTTTTCTCTGGTACTCTTCCAAGTATATTTTTGCCTTGGGAGTTTCAGTGTTGACGAGTACTTAAGTACATTGGTACTTAAGTATTAAAATGGTACTTATATACTTTAAACTATAAATATGTTTATTTATTTAATTTTATGCTCAATTTTATGTTAAACCATATTTTAAAGGTACGTTACATTATTACACTATTATTATCAACATTCAACATATAATTTAATTTCATTTTAATATTATTTTATATCTTCCTAGCTTATCTCATTTTAATGATTTTAATATTATTCACAATAAACAGCTGAAACAGCGCTGTCAGCTGACAAATTTCATGTATGTTTTGAATAAATACGAATTCAAAAAACTACGTGGTGCTGAAGTTTTCATCAATAAACTTTTGAACGCTGACTGGACATACAAATTTAATAAAATATGCATATGTATTTTTATTTGTTTATACCTTGGTGTTAGTATTTCTTTGTTTGTATGCACTACTGTATTTGTATGTACCACTGTGTTTGTATGTCTGTTGAGCATGGTTTATACGCACCTGACAAAACACATCTCGTCACGAATTCACAATACTTACAGCAGCTTATGTTCCATACGCTCTAGCAAACGAAATACAAATGAAAAACGTGAATTTTTTCAATGTTTACAATCCTTAATAAATAATTAAATAAATAAGATATATAACAAACTTAATTATTTTATTTTTATTACCCTCCAATATTAAATGAATTTTTATAAAAACAAAAACTTCTTATCAATAATTACCAACAATTTAACCGATAAAATTTTTAAATAAATAATTAATTTAATTGATGATTATTTGAATTAGTTTTAATAATAAAAGTAGTTTGATAAAAACTATTTAGATAGGAGTTTATAAATTGTCACGTCAAAGCACAGTTGGCTCAAGTTAAATTCTGCATAAAATGGTGGATGTTTCGACAAATGCTGAAAATCTCATCTCAAAACGAACTAAAACGAACTGCAGACAGTTTTGAGTTGAGTTTTAAATTACCTTTTAACTAAGCCAAATTCAACGTCTTGCTTTTGAAATATGAAAACATTTTTACATAAAAAAATTTAAACTTAATTAGAAGAATTAAACGTACGTCCAATAAACGCCAATTTCAAAACCTCTGTTTAAAATTAATCAACAACGTAGTAGAAGAACATTTTTGATTACCATGGAAATGATGCTGATAACATTATTCATTTATTTATTTACATATTTATTTAAAATATATAGTTTTAGTTTATTTAAACTGATCCACAAATTTAAAAGAAAAAATTGAAGCAGTGATACACAGTGACCTGTGTGTAATCAGGCATGCGTGAATAAACGTTACGTGTTTTTTGTCATACGTTCGTTGTATAAATTACATTACGTAGGACGCCCACAACTTTTAATAATAAAAAAAGGGTATCATATGCAGTTTATATAATTTTAATGTTAATTCTTTCATTAACTTCCTAAAAAATATTGTGTAACACTGCCTTGTAACAGGTTAAAATGTCATTCATGAAATGTCGAGAAGAAAATGTGAATGAAGATGAATGTGAGAAACATTGCAGTAAGGCAACAATTAGTAATGAAGCAGACGAACAGACCTGTCAACACTGATGGCTGCCAGGTTGAGTATGGAGGAAGTGCAGCCCATGACATCGAACGCCACCCACATGTCGCACAACGAGTTCCCCAGCTCCCATCTCGAGTTGTTTACCTGAGTTGAAACAGTCGTTGAAGAGTTCAAGAAGTTGAAATTCTATTTTCGCGATGTCCAACAATCAATCAACCAATCAATCAACCAATCAATCAATCAATCAACTAATCAATCAGTCAGTCAGTCAGTCAGTCAGTCTGTCAGTCTGTCAGTCTGTCAGTCTGTCAGTCAGCCAGTCAGTCAGTCAGTCAGTCAGTCAGTCAGTCAGTCAGTCAGCCAGTCAGTCGATCAATCGATCGATCAATCAATCAATCAATTAGTTTATAAAGCGCTATTTTCGCGATGTCCAACAACGCTCCTCAATAAATTTTGCAAACAGATGGGTCTTGAGATCCGCTCTGAACTTTGTAAGTGATGGAGAAGTAGTTAGAGGAGGTAAAAAGTTCCAGAGAAAAGGACCAGAAAAAGCAAATGCATATTTAGCAAAAGAGTATTTAACATGAGTTAGAAAGAAATGAGAAAAAGAAGACGATCGTAAACCGGGTTCAATTAATATATCTGATTTGTACTTAGGAAACAATTTAGATTGAGACATATATATGTGCAAATTTAAAAAATTATTCTTCACGTTAAGTAAAGGCAAAAGTTTTTTATTCTACGTAGATGAAAGTAAGAACTTCTAGCAACACTATTAAAAAGAGACATACTAGAATCAAAGATAAAGCCTAGACTACAAAACTTGTGAGAAGCATCAAGAGTTTCAGAATCAGGTAAGATAATAGGAGGAATAGTAATAGAGTGTTTAGATTTATTAAAACAAATTAACTCAAATTTAGAAGGATTATTTTTAAGGCACATAAAGTCAGACCAAGCGATAATTGAAGAAGGACATAGTATATACATTTTAGTGTTATAAAAAATGTAACAAATATTAAATTACCAAATAATTTAGTTAAATACATAACTAATAAAACTTATTCAAAAATGGTGTGAATAATTTTTGATGAATGTAAATTTGTTGAATTTAGTTGTAACACAGTTCAGCTCACCACTTTGAACATGTTTTTATTGATAATTTAAAATTTTAGGCTACGTAATTTTTAAAAAATAATTTCAGTAACACAAATCTTTTTTTAATTATTATATCACATTTTCTAAGAAAAAATTTTAATAGATGGTGTGAGTTTAAAAGATGCTGAGACTGTTCCAACGCAAAGACATCACCACTTATAGCATGCAGTGTGTGACACATGGATACAAACTTATTCGTCGAGAACAAAAATAATAAGAAAGAATCAATAATATTTTTTATTTAAAAAACAAAACATGTAACCAAAAAAAACTTCAATAATATTCCTACGTGTTGATAAATGTCTTTTCAGTTTATTTTAGTCCATGCAAACATTTCATGCATTTTTGATGTAACAACGCATGGAAAAATCTGTTCAAACTAAAACACAAATATATGTTTTTTCATAAGTCAACCATTTTCGTCTCTTCTATTCCCTATCTCTCTTTTTCACTTTTTATGGTTCTGTCCATTTTTCCATCCTTTTCATAAATATAAAAAACAAAAATAAATGAATTAAATAAATAAATAGTATACAGAAACATATACATATATATTTATATACCTATAAATGGATATAAATACACATACACACATTTATATACATACATATACATACATTTGTATACACATGTAAACACATGTGTATATATAAGAATAATGTCCAATTTTGAAAGGTTATTTTATTATTATTATTATCAGTATCATCAATACCACCATAACAATCACTACAATTATTACCACTATCATTATAATTATTATTAGTAGTAGCAGTTGTAGATGAAGTACTAGTATTAGTGGTAAGAGTGGTATTAGCAATAGTAATAGCAGTAGTAATAATAGTTAAATTAATATTATTATATTTAATATTATTATAAATATTATAATTATAATTAAGTGAAGTTATTTAGTAGGGATAATATTCACTTGTTTTTGTTGAATATTAATTATTGGTTTAAAGTTGTCTATAAATAATGAATCGGCTATTTTTAGTTCAAAGAAATTATTATTACGGAATAAAATTTTGGTCTTATTATCTAAAATATTTCTATTTAGCATTATATTATAATTATATATTTGTATATCTATTTAGGATTATATTAAGATGATATATATATATATATATATATATATATATGTATATATGTATATATATATATATATATATATATATACATGTTAATCACTGCATTTTCAGCTTTTATCAGATTCTGCTTCAAAAACTGATCTATATATATATATATATATATATATATATATGGTGTTGAAATTCTTATAAAAAAAAACTTGTATATATATAAACTTGTATTTATATATAAATATCCGACTTCGATACTCTGGAATTAATATTGACTCTCGATGGCTGCTGACAGTTGTCAAAAGGTAACAACTGTAATTTATTTTGATTTAACTTGAAATAATTTGTTGACATCCATGTGTTTACTTTTTCCATGCATCTAATTACATTTTCAATTGCAAGTTTAAACTCCTCTGAATCACTGCTAACTGGGTATAATATGAATGTCGTCTACGACATGAAAAAAGTTCAGTTCAGATACTTTAGCGATGTACAATATGAACAAAGTGGGTCAGAGGTTTGAATTCTTTGGTGCTCCAGATGACATTATACTAGAAAAAGTGTGTTTGAAAAATTTGTTGAATTTTTCAAAACCGTGGTGACCGTTTCTGTGATGCCAAAGTCGTTAATTAACACAAACAGAAAATTATGCGATGGTCGACACAGTCTAATGCTCACTTGTGGCTGAAAATGTGAGTAATTTTTAAAAGTGTGTAATAATCTCCTAATTTTTCTCCTTTTCAATCTATTTACAGAAAATGTTATTCTACAGAAACAGCTTTTCTTCATGTTCACGGCCAACTTGCTAACATATGTGGAAACCAAAATTGTGCTGTCATGGTCAGCTTGGATCTTTCAGCAGCTTTTGACACCATTGATCATCAGATGCTTATTGACAGACTTGAGGCAAAATATGGCATTACGGGATCTGCCTTATCTTGGTTTCAATCTTATCTTTTTAATCGTTCTCAATATATTAAACTTGGCTCCCACTCTTCTTCTAGCTTCACCTTATCTACCCGGAGTTTCATAAAGATATGTTATTGATCCCATTCTTTTCACTACTTATACCTCTCCTATTTTTAATATCATTAACACTTTTGGCTTACTCTTTCATCAAAACGCTGATAACACATGTATAAAAGCTAAAAATCCAACCTTTAATCATACATCTCAGCTTGACAACTTAAATGCATGTACTATGGCCATTTATGGCTGTAGTACATGCATTTAAGTACATTCATGGCATTTATCAAACTTTCTTTAGCTAAATACCCACAAATCTAAAGTAATGTTTTTTGGTACAGCTTATCAAATGTTTCCTCCCATCACACGTTCTCTTGACTGATTCTTCTCTTTCCTCAACCTTTAAACTTAAATTTTTAGGCTTAACTTTAGACTCTTCTCTATCTTTTAATTCTCATGTCTTAGTTTTGATCAAATCTTGTAACTATTATACGTAGACTATTCGTCATATTTGTAATTTTCTCGCTGAAGTTATTGCTTCTGCACTGGCTCGATGTCTCGTACTATCACATTTAGAATATTGTAATTCGGTTCTCTACGGTCTTCCTTTCTACTTTTCAAATTTATATCAAAGAGCTCAAAATAGAGTTGCAAAAGTTGTTTCAAATATCAGTAATTTATCTTCCAGTGCAGATTCACTTTTTCAACTACATTTGCTACTAGGACGTCAACGCATTATATTCAAACTTGCAGTCCTCACGTACAAGTTACTTAACACATCTCAACCATCATATCTTCATCAACTTATATCGCGTCGTTCATCATCTTGTCAACTTCGTTCGTCTTCATATACTCAGTTGCATCAACCTGTCAGCAATTCATCAGTTGTCAACAAATGTTTTACATACAGCTCTTATTTTTATTAAAATTTTTATTTTTAGGAAACGATTAAAAAACTTTTTGTTCCTCCAGGCCTACGGAAGCGTCAAAAGTCATTGTTTATCCAAGCGCCTCTGAAGCTATGCATAAGACGCGATATAATTTAATGATAATAATAATAGAGCAGCATTTAGTTTGTCGGTTGAAACAAATAATTCGGAAAAAACATAAAGCAATGCTGTCTTAGTTGAACGAGTTTATATCCAGGCTGATGAACTGGCAGCGAGTTATGTTTTTTCAAATGATTTAAAAGTTCACCTGCGACGACACGTTCGATGATTTTGGAAGTGAAACAAATGTTACATATTGGTTGGTCTGTTGTTTCTGATTCATTTCAGTCTCTGTTTGCTTTTTTTTTAAATAAAATGTTTGCATGTTTACAATAAGTTGGAAATGTTTCAATGTTCCATTACTCAAACAAAAATTTACAAAACTTGTGAGAAACAGAATGAAAAGATATTTATGTTTATTTTAAAAAAATAAGTAGAAAGGACATCTAACGCACATGTATTGATTATTAATCTGTGTGTGTGTCTGTGTACGCATTATATGATGTTCTTAGATATCTCTCATACCTTGTGAAAAATCAAAAAACATTTTTGATAACATACATTATTAAAAACGTTAAAGAAAAAGAATAAGCGTGATCATCTGTACTGGAACGTAACAATAAACATGCAAAAAATAAACAAGAGAGTCATCAGAGCTGAAAGTTCAATTGTGCTGGCGTAACGTCAGGTTCATTCAATTTATCTCTTAGATCCTCAACATTCTATTTGCGCAAATGTTTGAATTAATAAATAAATTTTTGGAATATCATATTTAAAACTTGTTTAAATCCAGAAAAATTTTGAATAATAATATTATTCTTAATGATAATGTCATACACCCAAATCATATTACTTGAAATCTCATAGTAAAATTTTAGCACTAGTAAGTTATGCAAATATTTGAAAGTTTAAGATTTATTTAAATAATATATTTTATAGTTACGTTTTTATTATTAAA